ATGTTGAGGCTTGTCAAATTGATTTGCTCCCAAAGTTGCTAGAGTAAATCTCATTGCCCCTTGGCCAATAGTTGCTAAGGCTATAGCTGCATATAGCACTGCAAATTGAACTCTTGATGGAGCTTGGCAGAAGCTTGATCCAGTCTCACAGTGAGGCCTCAAGGAGTTAATAGACACTGTTAAGGTCAGGAGAACCCCTCCCTGCAAGGGAAAATTGGTGATTAATTTCAAAACAGAAGGTCCTTAAATTATTAATCCTTTCGTGAGGATCAACTGCCAAGGGTACGACTATTTACCAGCAAAGAGAAAAAGGAAGAAATTGCAACAACAGAGAAGTTGCCTAAAAAAGAGTCAGCAAGAATTGCTGCAATGATTGGTAGCACAGTGACTGAACCATTAAGAATATTTGTGATCTGAGTAGCATCAATGCTCTTGATGTTGAACACCTCAATCAGATACACAATCAGGTTCGTCATCATTCCATTACCGGCCAGCATCAATCCCACTAAGGTTGCTGGTTATTACAACAGAACATATATATTAGTACAACATAGTTCTCCATGCTGTGTCAGTATGTGCACCCAGTTGTCTTGAAAATCATTAATCTATTAATCATAAGACATAGCTAGAAAATAAGAATACATACTCAGACAAACTTCTAGGTAGAGGCTCAGACTCATCTACTTGATTACATTTGAGCTTTTGTGAAACTCTCCATGTTTTCCCATCACGCCCGACAGATTCACTGAAGCAAAAGAGACTCCATTTTCAGAATCAAATGGATCATAAAATGAAATGAATAGTGAACAGAAGATTTTTTTCTTCTTGGAAATAGAAACACATTTTAAGAACTCACCAATGAACTCTGAGTGGCATTTGATGGGATCATACCATTGCATGGTAAGAGAAAAAAGAACATCTTGGCAATTGGCATATACTGCAGGCACTTATGTTTGAAGACAATTTCTTGGCATGTTTTCCCATTTAGCTACATATCCAAAATCAGTCCACCAAAGAAAAGAGAACTGAAATATCATTTTCACATTCTTTGTCTTCTCCTACAGCATATCAAGACTAGTTAGCCCAAGCATTGAAAACTGAGAGTTGTATACCAAAAACTTGCTATTCTATCAAGCGCAGATATATGTTTACAAAGGAAGAAGTCAAACCTAGACAAATTTCAGTTTAGAGCTTGACGGAGGATCCAATATCCTTCTTGACTAACTCGACTACATTTGCTAATCCCATGTAACTTGAAACCTTGTTAGGCAAAGACAGATATGTACACTAGTCAACTTGCATGTCAAATTTTGTCAGCATCCGACTGATATGGACCCGATAACTAAGCTGATTTTTGTGGGAACCATCAACTCAAGGAGAAAAAAGAATCAATTGTGAGAAATCACTTGAAAGGACCTTGAAATAAAGAGCTAAAAGACACTTTAACAATATATAAGGTGCATTAAATTTTCTCTCAATACAGAAAGTGCAAACTCTTACCTTAATTCTGCAATTCCTTGACTCCACCATGTCTGTCTTTGTTGGGAATGGGAACATTTGTACAAAAATAATGTCTTATATATGTTGACTGCATAATAAGCAAGAAGGAAACTCTTTTAAGCAGTGTTTCAGATAATGAATCATCAAGAATGATTATTTATTCCATTTACCAACATCAATAGAGAGCTATATGTCAAATGTATCTCTAAATCTCAGTTCTTCACTGTTTGAATTTTGGGCCTCCATAGAAAACTAAATAAAAAATGTTGAAATGCACAAATTAATTTATCAATAAATTAAGAGCCATGCAATGAGCAAATAATGTATAATGAACAAAAGTTTTGTTTTGGAAAAATAAGCATAGAAAGGAATTTCGGGACTTACTACCTGTGCAAGACCTTATGGGAGTATCTTTGAACCAGAGATATGATTTAAGAAAATGCCAAAGATTTTTCATTAGGTGGCAATTTTAACAGAAAACACAATTGGAACAAAGTGATTACCTACTACATCTACGAAACCTGAACTTCCTAGTTGTTTGTCACTACATTTGAGAAAATTATAAGCATGAATCAATGAATTGAGGTTTGATTAATTAAACTTACCTCAGGCATATTGGAGTCTGCAAATCTATTCTGATGTTGATGTTGGGATGAGGAATGAGGGATAAGCTTGCCATGTGCAGCATTGCTATCAAGGTGGAGTGTTAAAGCCAATAAAGAATGGCAGAATGCTAAAATAAGCAACTTTGCTCCATTGTCCCATGTCTATTAGATTAGATACCAGTTTCCTAACCTTTAATGAGTGCTTACAAATAAATAGATATATTTTGGTCAAGTACTGGTCATTAATTCAACAAGCACAATGTCTTAGCCAGTGACACCATGTTCTCTTAACAAGACTGAAGTACAAAAGCAATCAGCAGTATGATCAACACCTGGTGTCTTCTTCTTCCTTTCTCGTTCAACTTGACATCTTCCCTGCCATAGTTCAGGCTTCAGAGGTGAAATATAAAGCAAAATAAATGAAATAGCATAAAAATTTAAACCAACCATGCCACTGTTACTTAAGTAAAGAACATGGTATTTCTTATAATACAAAGGCAAGTGGTTGGAACACAGGATGATTTGCATCAAATTCAACAACAAAAGCAAAGTACAGACATACATTGTCACTCAAGAGACTAGTAGTAACACTGAATATTTTCATCTATCAATCCTGTTCAGTTAGTTGTTTTTTTTTTTTTTTAGAAGTTCAGTTAGTTTGATTTTATTAATAAGTTTAGGAAGATTTAGATAAGTGGAGAAACAAAATGCAATCCTCAATGGCTTAATGAGTTGAATATCATAATCTTGTTATCATCAGAGAGACCAACAGTCTATCCAAACAAAATTGAAAATGAAATCTTTTTTCGTTATTGTTGAAGTTGTACAAAGAAGTTAAAAGATTAATCAGAAGGATCACACAAGTAAAATCTTTAACAGACATACTTCGATCAAGATTTCAAATTCATCAAAGCAAGAAAAGTCCCATGCCCACAAATTTTCTAAAAGAAAATAGATGAACAAAATTGAGTTAAACAAGGAAATTAATCAGACAAAAAAATAAATTATAATCAAAATCCAAAAACAGTATTATGGAAATACATATATATATATATGTATGTACCTTAAAAAACGAAGGCTTGTAGTAATTACTCCTGCTGCTGGGCTCTCACACCCTCAAGCTTTACACTTTCATGTGTTTAGATGCATCAGACATAACTTGTAAGAATTACACTCAGTGTGTTTTTATGCCAAAAAATAAAAGCTATTAAATTTAAAAAACATTAATATACAGTATAGAATTTGAAGATTTGCTAGCTTCTATGAGCTCTGAGCGGCCCAATCACAGTCACAACTCTCAACCCTGCGTGAATAACCAAGTTAAGTTTCATCAAACATGCAAGTGTATGTTATGAATCCATTATATCCAACAGTTTAGGTTTTAGAAATTAATCATACCTCAATCTCTTATTTAGACTGCTACTGCAGGGACCCACCTTATATTCTCAAGCAGGGGATGTGAGAAATCTTGGCCCATTCGGGGCCGCTCTCTTTGGCGCATCTTTCTTCTAACTTCGGACAATTCAAAATGTGAAGATCTTGTAAGTTGGAGAGGCGTCGTACGGCTTCAATAGAAGGCATATGAGTCAAATTAGAGCAATTCTTAATCTCCAGCCTGCGAAGAGAAGAGAGGTCTCCCAACCACTCTGGCAAAGCTTCCAGGCCATTGAAGTCCCATAACGTTAATGCCGTGAGGGCAGTGAGATGTTGAAGCTGATGTGGCAGAGACTTTAATTTATCCCATCCATTCAATTCCAATACTTCAAGGGAGGCGTGGAGTTGATGAATGCAGGTTAGTCCAGAAAATTCCTCTAACTCCGACCAGAAACCACCTATCTGTAACTGCTTCAAGCAGGTGAGTCTACCCACGCACTCCTCTGGAATGCTCCTTAGCTTTCCACAATTACGGATCTCTAGTTGACTGAGTGAATGTAATTCCCCAATCTCCTCA